AAAAAAAAAAAAAAAACTGGAGAATAACTTGGCCCCATCTCTGGGAATGAAGTTTTTGTTTTGTTTTGCTGTTATTAACATGATTAATTTCAGCTCCTCTTCAATGTACCCTTACAAGCAATTCATATACATAAACATTTGATTCAGCTTAAAACAAAGATTTCAATATAGCATCCTCTTAAAATATTTTATTGATAAAATTCACTCTAGATACGAATTGTTTACTGAGATACAAATTTGCAATTGTGTTTGTTTGTTTGAAGATTTATTTATTTATTTATTTTAGAGACAGAGAACAGGCTAGTGGGGGGAAGGGTAGAGGGAGAGAGACAGAATCTCAAGCAGACTCCCAATGAGTGCAGAGCCCTATGCAGGGCTTGATGTCACGACCCTGAGATCATGACCTGAACCAAAATCAAGAATCTGATACTTGGCCTTGAGATCATGACCTGAGCCAGAATCAAGAGTCTGATGCTTAACCCACTGAGCCACCCACACGCCCCTGCAATTTCTTTCGTCAGTAGGAATAATTAAAATATTTTCAGTATAAACTAATTGTTTGAAATAAATGTTTAGTTTGTGAAAAGTTTTTTGGAGGGGGCAGGAAATGCATGTTTAAAGTTTGCCTGATGAGTTTTGGAAATGAAACAAAAAATCCTGAACAGGATACTAATGTATCAACCTGCTATTGGTTGATGCCGGCTACATGTAATTCACAAATATGTCAACAGATGGCAACTGTGAGCTTTAAATTTCTCAAGTTTTGTTTTAGCCCCAAATACTGCAGGAATGGCAAGAATTAAAAGCACCTGTTTATTGATGGTTGGTTTTTAACCTACAATTCTTCAAAAAAGTGCCTGGTATCAATTTTTAACTCTGAAAGTCCTTCCTACTTGCCTATTAGTTTGCTGAACTAACAGATGTGCACCATGCTTACGCTGAGGAAAAACAATAGTAGAGTACAATATATTTTATTGAATATACTAGATGTTACATTTTGCAAACTATAGCTGTTGCTAAAAATCCATAAAAATGAAGTCAATCAGATGTATCTGTCTTTAAGTTAAAACCCAGCTGCTTTAATAAGGTTATGTTTTATTGGTAGTAAAACTCTGCCCCATAGGATTAATGAGGTTGAAACTAGCTGTTGAAAGCTTGTTTTTCAGAGAACTGTTTCCCTCTAATAAGCTAATGTGTCTTTTCAGACCCCACTAACAAACTCATTAACTGTCCCTGCAGAAGCCTGGACTCCAGGTCAACTGATAGGGCTCTAGCCTATGAACAAGCAAGACCCTGCATTCCTTACCTGAGATAAGGAGCCCAAGACCCCATCCATTTTATACTGGCTCTCAGAGCATGCCCCAGTCCCTTCTCCTTGTCCTAAGATAACTTTCTGATATCAGGGGCTAAATTTTGCCTTGCTGGTGTAAAGTCTCCACCCCAAAGTGAACGTGGGATGTTTGTTACATATACTTTTGCTCAATGCACATGCTCCATCTTTCTTCATGAATAGTCATCAGTTTTCCTGCCCTTTTCATCAATATGTATGTAATCTCAACCCCCATTATTATAAAAAACTTGTTCTCTCCTCCTTCAGGGAAGTGGATTTGAGACTTGTCCTTCGGTCTCCTGGTTTGGCTGCCTCTCAAGTAGACCCTTTCCTTGCTACATACCTGATGTCTCAGTGACTGGCTTTACTGTGCGTCCATCAGGAAGACGGAGTTGGATTTGGTTACAGTAGTCCTTAAAGTCAGGTCCCTGGGTATCATTCGCATCACCTGAAATGTGGTTAGAAATGCAAATTCTCAGGCCCCACCCTAGGCTTACTGAATCTGAACTCTGGAGATGGAGCTCAGTAATCTGTTTCCCAAACCCTCCAGGTGATTGTAAACCTGAGAAATTTGAGAACCAGTGCGTTGAAAGAAACTTGAAATACAGGAGAGAGGTTCTGAACTAATCATTTTTATTCAGGTATAACTGACATAAATGCAGTAATAATTAACAATGTAGTTGATTATTTCTTTCATGTGACTTAGTGTTCACACAGTAAAGTTTGCAAAATAAGGAACGTAAAATAGTACACAATTTCCATAGACTCGGAGAGGTGGAATGCTAGTGCCTAATTTCCACACATTTCTTAAACTGAATGAAAAATTTCAGTTTATGTACCCTTCTAGATGGTACTGAAAGGGATAACGTTATGGTAAATTGTACACAGGAACTTAACTAAACTAACAAATTAAAATTAAGTCAAAATACGATTATTTCTAAGGAGTATAGAACAATCTTCAGGAAGGAAGGAAAGCAATTCCCTATAAAATGAGTATTATTCTTATTTGTATTAACACGTACGCATATTCCATTCTCTCTCAGGCATCCTTAAACCCTCCTGCAATTCTGTTGCTGAAATAAGAGGCACAACAATTTAAATTAACAACAAATAACACCCAGGCCACATTTTCATTTGTAAATAAGAGAAGGTATGCAAAAATTGTTTATCACTGTGATCATTTTATCTTAAACACTGCTTTGCCTCAATTACCTTCCTACCTGAAAATTTTTTTATTAATGTTTGTATTAGTTCAGAATTTCTCAAAGAACATATAAACTACTGGTTCCCATGAAGAGGCAGTGTTTATTCAACTACTTCAGTCTAGAGGCATCCTTTCTTCTTGTTCAGAATGTATAAATAGTTTTTACAGTGCTAATAAATGGATTATTTGTAAATCACATTAGGTACTTATGAGGGAAATAACAAGAGCAAAAACACATAAACAATCATTATATTCTCACTCTCTACATTGGAATTATTTGTATCTTTTTCACTTTTGTGGTAACCAGATACAATAATAGTTCAAACACCTTAATCTTTATGCTTTATATATATATGCATACATACACACGCACACACACATACCACATCTTCTTTATTCATTTATTGATGGACACTTGGGCTACTTCCATAATTTGGCTATTGTAAATAATACTGCTATAAACGTAGGAGTGCATGTATCTCTTTGAATTAGTGTTTTTGTATTTTGGGAGTAAATATCCAGTAGCACAATTAGTGAAATAGGTCAATCAGAGAAAGACAAATACCATATAATTTCACTCATATGTGGAATTTAAGAAACAAAACAAATGAGCAAGGGAGAAAGAGAGAGGGTGAGAGAGAGAGAGAGAGAGAGGGAGAAAACAAGAAACAGACTCTTAACTATAGAGAACAAACTGACGGTTACCAGATGGGAGGTGGTGGGGGGGATGGGATAACAGGGTGAGGGGCATGAAGGAGAGCACTTGATGGAAGGAGCACTGGGTGTTATGCACAAACAATGAATCATGGAACACTACATCGAAAACTAATGATGTAATGTATGGTGATTAACATAACAATAAAAAATGTTTAAAAAAAAAGTACACTGGTTTAAGACTGGAGTTTGGTTTTTCACTCTGTTGAAATGACAGGGTTTCCCTGGAATACTTGGTCTGCTCTTGATAGAAAAATGTAAAAGGTTTTTCCTTTATCTGTCCAGAAAAAAACAAAGTTTGCTATTAGGTCTTTAATTACTTAATGAATCTATATCTTCTCAATATTAAAAAAGCTAAGTTTTGCTAACAACTATGTAACCTTCTGTATTTGCCTTTAGAATCTCTTACTGCCATCTACGTTAAATAAGTTTTAAGTTTTGTAATGATCTGTGGTCCTTTTTAGGCGTGTGCTTTATTTTTTTTTTCAGATTTTATTTATTTGAGAGAGAGTGCACACAGGAGAGCACAAGCAGGAAGAGGAGCAGAGGGAGAGAGGGAGAAACAGACTCCCCACTGAGCAGGAAGCCCTATGTGGGGCTGAAGGCAGACGCTTAACTAACTGAGACACGCAGGCGCCCCTAAGCATGTGCTTTATTTACTTTCTTCTTTTCAAAGATTTTATTAATGTATTTGACAGAGACACAGCGAGAGAGGGAACACAAGCAGGGGGAGTGAGAGAGGGAGAAGCAGGCTTCCTGCCAAGCAGGGAGCCTGATGCGGGGCTTGATCCCAGGATTCTGGGATCATGACCTGAGCCGAAAGCAGACGCTTAACAACTGAGCCACTCAGTGCCCCTAAGCATGTGCTTTAAAACCTTCTGATACTTTTAACAAATTTCTCAAAATTCAAATTCTAAAAGAAGTCTTTTTAACTAATAAGGCTTATTTATTTGATATGTAAATTACATGGGAAGCATTGTCAGATAAGTGATGATTAATCTTTTTAGGTTATATTGCATGGGTGAATGCTATGAAATTCCTAAAGTTTTAATATATCCTAGTATAACATCATTACTTGTAATTCTGATTACTGAAGTACTGTCTATCACAGAAATATTTCCTTGTCAACTGCACTATAATGAAATTTCGTATGATCTTTAACCAAGGCCTTTTTTGAGTCTTTTGTTATTTACAGTTACTATTCTGATGCTCTTACAAATTTGTTTCATCTTCAAGGAGAACCACAGAGACGACTTTGACAAACACAGGTTTCTGATACACTAAAGATCACAAACTAAGCCAAGTAAGAATTACTGGGAATAATGGGAAAACTGTATTCAAACTGAAAAAAAAATTAGTAACATGAGACTGAATGAACCGAGGAAGATGATCATAGTTTTTTATGACCCTTGTTTGAAACATCACTGGTTCTCTAATGTTTGCTCTTCAGGATTTAAGGAAATATTTATCTTTTTCTCCCTACCTGATTTCTCCAGAATTCAGAAACTCTTTGAGTATTCTTACCTTCATGGCAATTATAGTTATTTGCATAAGTTCACGAAGAATCTCTTCTTTTAACAGGTCACCTTTAGAAAAATTGATTCTATTACCAAGGCTTTGACTGGAATGTCCTATTTGAGAAAGACATGCATAGACTCAGATGACCAGACAGTTTTAAGGAACTAAGGTTGATTTTATGAAGCCAGTGAAGCCCCCTGGAATAACTGGCATAGCTGGTACTTTGCTTACAGAGTTCCCAGGAGCCTTACCAGGTAAACAAGGAAGGTAACCTACTGACAGGCTCAGGAACATCAGGATATTTGGGGGACCCCAAGAAGCGAGGAAATAATCAGATCCTTAAAGGTACTGAAAGTGTTGGCAAGTACTTGGCTTGGCTCTTAGCCTTGAATGGCTAATTCCTTATGAAAAGTTCCAGTAAAGCAGATCTGAAAGAACATGCAGCCAGTCACTATTCTTGTACTTACGTAAATATTTAGGCCAAATTTGTTAAAAATGGACTTGTTTTACAAACAAAATAGTCTTAATCTGGCTATTGCTGATGGAAATGAGGGTGATTTTTGGAGAGAAAAAATTAGGTCTCAATAATGTATCTTTATGGGGGTTAGATTCTAGTTCTGATTAATTGTCCTCAAATGTTTATTGTTTACCTTTAACACTGGGCTGGATCCTGAATTATTCTGGTTTCCTCAAATATCTGGATTTCTACCTACTTACACACTTACACGCCTGACTTTGAAAGCTCACCTGCAGGACCAGCTCCTAAAATGAGACAACTGTTTAACTGAACTGACCTGATTTACCTCATTATGAAATGTGGAATAAGATGCTAAGACTATACATTAGAGTTCCAAAAAAAAGGCCTCTATGAAGGATGGGGGCTCAACTTAATATTAAGGGTTATCTGCAATTGGACACAAGGGAATTTCATTCCTCAAAATCCTCATCAATCCCACCTTTTCAGCAGGAAGTGGCTGGAGTCATTCCTGTCACTCAAGAATGAGGAATGATGAAAAGCCATGGTGGTATGGGGACCAAACCGCTATTGTTTTGTTGCCAAATGAATATCTGCCATGTCTACTGACTCTCAAACATTTGTCTTATTGCCCCAGCCTCACACTGCTGATGTCCCTCCTTCTTGCCTCAGGAAGCGTCTCCCTGTTGGGGGCCACCACTTATGCTGAAATTCACAATTGCTTTGATGTACATGCCGTACACATCGTAGGGGCCATAAAGATGTTGGGGGTAAAGTGCATGAATGCTGAAATACCGACCCCATGTTTGGCCCTCCACCTTGTTCATGTCCGAGTGATGACCTCCCTCAGGGCTACGGGTTCCAGGTCCCCTGGAGGTTAATGTGTCCTGACCAGAATATGGGAAGGCTCATTCTGATCTTCCTTGAAGTTATTTAGATAACTAGTAGGGGTAACATACTTTCCTCCCCCCTCTTCCTGAGCACATGTGGCGCCACAAAGTCTGTTAAGTGTTAGACCTCTGATCTCACCACAATGCCCTCTGCACATCCCTTCGCACTCTATAAATGTGAACCAAGGTCCTGACACTGTGGAGAATAGCTGTGCGGCTGCCTGGATCATCACCTGCCCAATTCCCCCTGTCAGTAAATTACCTAGAATAAAACTCTGTGTGAACTGTATGGAGTCACCTGCTTCATTTTCCAATCTCAAAGTGCCTTCTCAGTTTGGGGGATACTTTATTGTCCCTCTTCCACCTCCCAACACTCCCTTTTTCTCATTTCTTAAAGTGAAGCAAGTCCTCCTGATTCTACAGGATGGCCCCAAAGTCTGTAAACCTACCTATACATGATAAATGGTTGAATGACATTACAAATCTTGATATGTTCAATGGGTGGTCCCTAATTAGAAATGCATAGTTCGATGTGTGCTGCTTTACTTGCACTGAATAAGTCAGTCTTTACCACACTGGGGTATTGGGGTGCTCCAGTGTGGTAATGGGGGTTGGAGGACGGGAGGGTGCAGAGTGGGCAATCCTCATCTGTTCATAGTGCAACCTGCTCCGCATGACCACACTGTCCCATTCAGTTACAGAAATTATCAGTCAGTTCCTTCTATCTCTGGTGTAATGGCACTGACTGGAGAGGCTTCCCCCTAGCCTGTCAAGTGGAGGCACTGATTGGTTCCAGAAAGTGGTAAAATACATGACACACTACCTCTTCCCAGACTTTATGACCATTTTTATATCCTTATATCAAATCCATACTCTCTTGTCATTTTCTCTTGCACAATTTTAACAATCCCTTAATTGGTCTCCATGTCTCCAGTCTCACTCTCCTTAAGCCAGCAGCTGATGCTACCAAGCGTGGCTTCTTAAACTGAATATCCGACTGTCCCAGAGATCTGATATGTACTACTCTCTCCAGGGCACACCAAATTTCAGAGTTGGAGGGCACCGAGAGGATGAAGTGCTAAGACTGCTTAAGCAAACAGAAAAAGGAAAACAAAAACAAACCTAGCAGACAGGAAGGAAAGAGAAAAATGTCCATCTGAGTTGTCCACCCCCGCTCCCCCGCTGTCTGTATCCTCCTGTCCAACTGCAGGCAATGTCTTTCCCCTAAACATGCACCTTACTCCCGTTACACAGTACTTACAATTCTCTGACCAAAGCAGTCTATTTTATATATGCTATCCATTTGTGTATGCCACTTTTTTTTGCCTTGAATACTACCATCTCAAAGAACCCTTTTCCTATTAAGTTGGTCCTCAAAGGTCCTAATATCACATTCACTACTCTTCCTCTTAAGGATTTAGATTTGTCAAATTTTAACACTTCACTGGATTTATCTGGCTTACATTTCTATCTTTATTAGAGCTTACAGTTTCTTGGAACAGGGATCTTGTTTTTTCTTTGTTGTTGTTTTTTTAATCCTAAATCCCTAGTATACAGAATAGGCACACAAGTGTGCTGGCGCTCGGAGTAAGCTGTACATTCTAGATTTGCTTGATTCTTAACCTGTTCAGGATCCCTTGAGTAAGTGAACACTTTGGATAGTTTGCCCAAGAAAACGGACTGCAAATTTCCCAGAGGGGAGGGGAGGTCATGAAATTCCTGAAGAGCAATAAGGAATCCCTAAGGATTCCACTCATCCTAGTTTTAGAACCCTTGCTTTTGAGGCAAAGTAGTCTACTGCAGTATTAAAGTACACACGCTCCCTCCCTCCCTCTGACCCTCCACTTTTGTAATTCCAAGTTTTTTCTGAATATATTAATTTAAATGGACCACAAAGTTTTTCACCCTCAAACCCGACAATAGGCCAGTTAGACTAATTAAACTGTTCTTAAAAACAAAACAAAATTGTACTTTCCTCATCTATGATCAGGTCCAAGACAAAAGAACCCAGCGAAAGTACCAGAGCCAAAATAAACAACAGAAACTGTCTTTCATGGTTTACAAATAAACGACTGTATTGCTTTATGTGCAAAATTTCCCTCATTCTGAGAGAGAATCTACTTAAGTACTGCATTCGAAACTTCCAATGTTCACACACAGAACTGGGCCTACCGGGTCTCTAGACCCCTTCTTACCCCTACACGCCAGTTCTAGAACAAGCTTCTCCACCCGCTCCACCGACACAATTCACATCACCTTTACGTTTCCCTTCTTGCCTATAAAATGGACCTGTACAGATCCCGACTAGGGAGATACGGGCCTCTGGGGCCGGATGAAGACTCCAGAACGCCTCGAGCCTAAGCTCCAGGGGGCCGGCGCGTTCTTTCCCATTCACCCCTTTTTCTGTTACGCCATCAGCACGTTCTACCGCCGCCCTCTCCTGTGCCTAAAAGAAGGCAGGCTACGTTACGGCGTTGTCCGCTCGGCGGGGGAAAAGACTAAGAGACTGGTACCTCTCGGAATAGCGTAGGAGCTCCGCATCTAGCTGTTCCCGGATACCGGTGCGTTTCCGGTTAAGGTAGCGCGGCGACAGGGCGATGTGTCTTCGGTGCGGGCCTGCCACCAGGCAAGAGTAGCGGCTATTCACGAGCGCACAAGCGGCAGCGTAAGTCGGCAGCTCCAGGCAGGGCAAGACGCCGGCCTGTCCCACAACCGGCCCCTCAGAGGCCGCCTTTGGCGGCGGAGCCTCTGAACAACCCGCAGCCATGCGGCTTGTCAGGTTTCCCGCGGCGCGCACAGCTGACGCAGGCATAACCGGCTATCTCAGGACGCCGGGTTTCTACGTCATCCACCAGCTGGCACGCCCCTAGGAAATCTCTCCTTGAGTTGCATTACGCACTTCTGACCAGCAGAGGGCAGCAACTTCTTCGCACTCGGGACGACTGGCGGAGCGAGGAGCCTGTGCTTACGTATTGAGCATGCTCGAAGGAGGACCAGCCACCACTTCCTCTCGCCTGGGCGGGCAAGCCTTTACTTTCGCTAAGGTCCTCTTTGGATTTAGTATGTAGGTTTAATGGAGTTTACACTGATAATTTCCAGTAGTAAGGTGGCCTGGTAAATTTTACAAGTGTGGAAAATACAATAACAAACTTTAAAATTTTAGGGAATATATTTTCTGCAGGGAATCCAATCCTAAAAAGCAGCCCAGATGTCTCAAATGCAACACATCCCAATAAACCCATCATCCCTCCCGTCTGGATTCTCTACTCATTCTGTAACAACTCATTCAGGAAATCTTACCACCACTTTCCAAATGGCTCAGTTCAGCTGTTATCCTTGGAGCCTCTCTTGTATCCTCAAATATCAAATCAGCCCCAAGGCTTGCGGGGTCCAAAGCGGAAATACCAGTCTATTCAGATACTTCTGTCTGTCCTCGCATCCAAAAGTACAGAAGTGCCTGTGGAAGCTTAACCCTATGGTCAAGAGGACACTCGGGAGCATCTTCTGCGAAACACAAATATAACCATGACTTGTCCACATAGGAACCCCAATTTTCTCAGGATAGCACAGACTCCTTAATATGGATCTTAAGTTACTCACAAGACCATATTAAGGTCTGCTGCCAGCCCAGCAGTTTCATTTATCACCCTCCCCGCTTTACATTGTTAGCCACCCGTGCTCACTGATTCACTTTCACCTTGCTCGCTCTTTTTCATCAGTTCCTGCTACCTGAGAATATAGTGACTTCTCTCAAATGGGAAAACTGTACTCGTGTTAAATTTTAGCTTAGATTTTTGCATTCTCTTCCTCTGCAGTTTACTACCACCCTATCCCTCTTCCCCGCCCCCATCTAACTCAAGATGGGGGATTAGTTTCCCCACTTTTGTAAATTACCCCCATCAAGCACTTGTTTTTATGTTAATTTTATGTCAGTTGCCTATTGGTCCGCCTGTTCCTTCATAGACTCCAAGCTCACCAAGGCAGGAACCATGATAACTGTCTTTTCTCCACTGCAATCCTCAATGACTCAAAACAAAAGAAAACAAAACAGCCAATGCATAGGAAATGAGTGAATGAATGAAAGAATTAACAGGCAATAAAGAGCTCAAAGTCTAATGAGGCAATAGGATCTAAACATAAATATACAACAGGACTACACCGTGTAAGTGCCAAGAGAAATGCATAGCAGTTAGTATTGTGACTTGTAACACCTCTCCACCTCTCCTAGGTATTGCAAAAAAGCTGTAAACCTCTCTCAATTAATTTTTCTCCCTGTAAAATAGGTATAATAATAATGTACCTACCCTGCTCCCTATAGAAATGGTAGGAAGTTCAAATTAGATAAGTGAAAAACACTTTCTCTAGTATTCTTTGATTTCAAAATCAGCATGAGATGTTAATGGGATAAAACTGTTCCCAAAGCCCAGTGATAAATATAAGCCCATGAATAGGAAATGTAATAGCCTTTACCTGGATTTGATTGGAAAGTTCTGCAAGAGCCCTATGCAGGACCCCTTTGTTTAGTGTTCTCAGCTTTGGCTACACATAAAAATCACCCGAGGAGCTTTAAATTCTGACGCCTTACCTGTGGTGATGAACACTGGGTGCTATATGCAACTAATGGATGGATCAAAAACTTATGATGTACTATATGCTAGCTAATTGAACATAATAATAAAAAAATAAACAACCAAAAAATAAAATAAAATAAAATAAAATCTGATGCCTTAACAGCATCCCCAGACCAGTTAAATTAAAACTTTTCCCCGCAGTCAAGATGCGTGTAGATTCTCTGCAGGTGAATTGAATGAAAACAATTTGTCCAAGCAATTAGTAAAAACAAGCTGGACATCAGAACAGTTGAGTCAAAACAAAACTTATCTAAAATCAACTACCCCAGAAATGATTTTTCACAAATTTTAAATATGGGGTAGTTTTATAACCCTTTGTGTGCTCATAAGAGATTTGCTTATTTGGTTTTGAAAATTGTTTTTTACTTTTTAGTTTTTTAAAGTTCTGGCTTGATTGTTAGCTGCTATCCACAATCTGCATGGTTTGGAAGAGAGAAAAGGTGATTTAGCCTACGTGTAAATGTTCACCATTATGGAGTTACTTTACCAAATTAACCTGTTTCACCTATTACCCAGAGAAGAAGACAAGTAGAGTGAGATTCCTCCCACCTACCTTCCACCCCACACAAATTCAAAGTTTATTTGATCAAGTGCCTATAGTTGGACTGTACTATTTTCTTTTTGTATAAAATTTGATCAAAGTGGCACAGGAAGTCAGGCATTGCTGGTCTCTGTCTCATGAAAAGCCCTGTGAAGTCAAAGTCAAGCATGTGCTAAGAAAACCCCTTTTCTACAAGGAGAAGAGACAAGGTTGGACACGACTTAGTCTCCATGTCCGCTCACACCCCCCACCCCCAAAAGAAACAAAATTGTCCCTGCAACTCTCTGGATTTTTTTTTTTTTACCATCGACCCCCCCCCTCCACGCACATATACACATTATATTATGTTACTGTGTTTCTATTCCTCGCAATCAATGAATCCCTGGAACAATAGAAGTGTGCACTAATTGGTAGGCTGCTGAAATAAGTTACAAAGTCACTTGTGCCACATGCTCTGATTTTTATGGAAAACATGCACATTTATATGATTAGAAGAGAATCTGGATGTATAAATACTATGTGTTAATATCAGTTATCTCTTGAGGGTGGGTTAATGGCTTTTTAAAATTGTGTGAATTTTCATGTTATTGTAATGAGTGTGCATTGTTTTATATTTATAGAAAGTAGAAAATGAGGGAAAGGATTCTTATTGTTGATGATTTGGGTCGTTACAAGATATTCTCAATTCTTAGACAGTTTAATATAGCACAAGGTGAGGAGCCTGGGTCCTAAAGTTACATTGTGTGAGTCTGAATCCTGGTTCTGCCACTTACTAGGTGTATAGCATTATTAGGCAAGTTCTTTCTTTTTAAAGAAAAAAAAAATCTGAAATTATTAGAATAGACCTACTGAAAAAATGGAATTTGAAAGTTTGATGGATAAAGGTTTACACAAAATATTTTTATATAAAGGGCAGTAGTGCAGGTAAAAATGCCATTGTATCAACTGGCTTTTGCTGCATAACAAACCATCCTCAAATTTGGTGGCTTACATAGCAATCACTAATTCAGTCCGTAATTCTGTGAGTACGAATTTGGCCTGGGCTCAGCTGGACTCGCTCAAGCATCTGTAGTCAGGTGTGGGCGGCTCCATGGTCTCATCCTCCAGCAGGCTAGAGTAGGTTTGCTTTCCTGGCAGCTGTGCATGTTTCTGAGTGAGAGTGTGAGAGAAAACCTCTTGCCTAGACTCGGGAACATAGACAATACAATCCAAGGCATGAAATGCTTATGATCTCAAGTACTTTGTCCTTTGCCTAAGAAAGGACCGGGGTCTACTTCTATCCTATACCAGACGTGCACTGGAAGTCCCTAAAAGTGCCCCCGCCAACAGGAGCGTAATAACAGTCTCGACAAGAAGAGTTCCATCACCCTTCGTCGTTGATTTTATCAAATTGATAGAATGCGTGATTTCATCAGTTATCACAACCACCACCATGATCATCATCATCATGGCTAAACTTCACGACAAACCTGCCTGGCACTGTGGTAAGTGCTTTCTACAAATCACCAACACAGAATCTTTACACACTTACTACAGTTATTAAATATTTTTACAGATGAGGAAACTATAATCTAGGGAAGATTTTAAAATATTGGCCCCATGAAGGTAGTAATCCTATCTGTATTGTAAAAAGCTGCAAGCCTAGTGCCTAGCACATATTTCCTGAGTGAGCAAATGAACGAGTTTTCCAAGGATACACAGCTGCTAATCAAGGAATTTAACCCAGTCATGATTCATTCCAGAGCTCATGCTCTGACTCACTAAAAATCCTCACTTTTCCTATGCACGTGGCCAAAGATTATAAAGGAAGAAATTTTAAGCCGGCGTTGGTGGTATAGTGGTGAGCATAGCTGCCTTCCAAAGGAAGAAATTTTAAGAGTTCAGAAAATGGGTGCTTATTTTAATTAGCCTTTGCCTAAAAAACAACTGGTAAAGTGGGAATCAGATCAAACTGGTAAGTACTACCTTTTTAACAGGCTTGGAAAGATGTCAAAGCAGTACCAGCTTAGGCTAAAGTGGCAGGGCTGGGAGTCTTGCAGAAAGCAATTCACAATATGGCATGGCTGGTAGGAGCCAGGTCCTGGAGTCTAGTAATCTGGGTGTCAGTCTTGGCTCTGTAACCCTGCAGAACTTGCCTAGTCTTTTTAAACCTCAACTTCCTAATCTGTAGTGTAAAAGTATAATGATATGGAGAATCTGTGTGGAGTAAATGAGATAATGGCAGTGTCGTACTAAGCACAGTGACTGGCCTATAGTAAGTGCTCAATAATATATCCTTTTTGGAGACCATGATCAACACATCAGTTATAATATGCCTGGTTTAGCCTGATGAGAGCTGTAAAGCTGAACTTGGGAGCAGGAACTTATAACTTCCTTGAATGCAGGGCAAAGCAGAGTCCTGGACCTAAGAGGAACATTCATATAAGAGTATGAATAAAAACTGGAGAATAGGGGCGCCTGGGTGGCTCAGTCGGTTAAGCGACTGCCTTCGGCTCGGGTCATGATCCTGGAGTCCCGGGATCGAGTCCCCCATCCGCTGCTTGTGTTCCTGCTCTCTGTTTTCTCGTCCTCTGTCAATAAAATAAATAAAATCTTTAAAAAAAAAAAAAAATTTGA